ATGGGCCTGGGCCAGTTCTCCACTCCTGGGGGCCAAGCCACCCCCCCCAGGCCTTGTGGGGGAAAGGCAGCGCCCATTGGGGCCAGCCTGTGCCCTGAGGGGCTCTCGACACCCACGTAGAATTCTCTACACACCAGTAACGGGATTTCAATTCCGATGGACTCTGCCGCCCTGGCGGCCCTTCTTGTGACTTTTGCGCCCCACGCCTGGGGTGGGGGGCGTGAAGAGACGCTACGTTCCTTTCCGGTGGAGGAAGGCAGACCTGCCGCTGTCACACATGTGCTTGCACGAGTGCGTGTACCTGGTGCGGGACTCACCCGGCTGCCAGACCACCTGGGCCTGCCCAGGAGGCCACCTCATGGTGCTGTGGTGACTTTGTAGCCAACTTTATAATAAAGTCCAGTTTGCCTTTTTGGTAGCCCTGGTGTCGTGCTGTGAGAAGGGAAGGGTGGGGACTGGAGAAGGCGGGGGAGGCCCAGATGGGAGTCTGGGGTCGGGAGGTGCAGTCTGGACCCGCCCACAGCCTGGCATTTCTTCGTTCCCTCGTCCTTCCGTCCGCACGGCGTCTGCGCACACAGCGTCTGCGCACGCGGCGTCTGCGCACACAGCGCGCCGTCCGCCCCGTGCAGGCAGCTGGAGAGCTCGGAGCTGAAACGGACTCACGGCTCACCTTTAGGGTGCTTGGGCATCTCACTCTGGAGGGTGCTGGGGTCCCCTCCGTGTTCGGGTCTGGGGTGCTCACAGGGCGGGGAGGAGCAGAAGGATTGGGGGTGGGGAGCGGATTCAGAGTGGCACTGACCTGCTCGTAGGTCTGATATCTCAGGACACAAGTTTCTCTCTCCAGCCTGGTCCTGCAGGGGAACCACGTCCCTCTGTGGCCAGCGCGTTGGAAACGGTGCCCACCTCACACGGGCCCTTCCGCTGACAAACACTTTTACATCCCGAATTCATTGCAGTGAAGCCTCTGAACAGGTGTATTAGCACCATCTCACTAACGAGGACACTGAGGACCATGGGCGACGAGTGATCTCCCCCACGGCAGGCGAGAGGCATAAGTGGGCTCCAGACCCACAGCATCTGCATCCGAGCCCTGGGCTGGCTCCTCCCCCCCAAAGCCCGTGAACCACCGTCTCAAACCACCCCGCCCCCCGGTACCTCAGAAGAGAAGGCTTGGGCTGGAGGGAGGTGGGCCCTCTCCCCCACCCCAGGCCTGCATGCTCCCGCAGACCCCAGACTTCTGAGCAGAAAACAACTTAGTGAAGTCACAAGAAAACATTTCACAAAATACTGTTTTCCTCCAAGCTTGAGGGCTCAGCAGCCGCAGGGCATGGTGGGGGAGGAAAAAAATGAAAATTAGGAGACAAAAAGACCTGGATTCAAAGCTACCAACTATTTGCGGAGTGGGACTGGAGCCTCAGTTTCTTCTCAGGGAAATTGGGGCTGGAAAAAAAGTAGCACTTACCCCCCCCCCCAAAGATGCTGCTCAACTGATGAGGCCTCTTTCTAAGATGAGGAGCACAAGACAGGCTTGAGTCATTACAATGAATGAGAAGGCACCCTGGATGGCATGGCACAGTTGGTCGGAGCGTCGTCTCGTAAACCACTGAAGGGTGAGTGGTTCAATTCCCGGTCAGGGCACATGGCTGGGTTGTGGGTTCATTCGATCTCAATTGGGGCGCGTGCAATTGGGTTCCAATTGATGTTTCTCTCCCTCCCTGTCTCTCTTCCTTCCCCTCTCTCTAAAATCAGTAAGCGTGTTCTCAGGTGAGGGTAAGAGAGTGAACTAGAAGGCAATGGTGACCACAAAGCTTTAGAGGAAGTTTCTTTCTCAAGGAGAGGAAGGAAACTCCAGGCCCCAATCTTCCCACCTGCCCCCCCCCCATACCGCCTCCAGTGAAATACAGGGGCTGGAGTCCAAGGGCTGCAAGCACAACACGGAGAACTCCCCTGAGGTTTAAACCTCTCACTCCAAAGCCTCCGGCTCTGGGGCTGTGCCCTTCAGAGGGTCTCATGGGAAGGTGGCATTCCAAGGACCTCTGAGCCCTTTTCCACCTGGAACGGGTCCTTGGGCGAGGCTGGAAGGTAAGGCTTGCCCCCTGTCTTCCTGTGCATCTGTCCTCCAACCTGGACGACAGAACCGGACTATGAGGACGCTGCCTCGGTCCCCTTGCTGGCAGCCCGCACCGGGCTGGGCGCACAGCGGCCACATGAGAAATATCCCATCGAGAGGACTGTTTCTGAAGGTCAGCCCAAGGATTTGAGTAGAAAGCCACCAAGTTCTACCACAACAATTGTTTTTAAGTTTCTCAGAGGGCAAAGGGCTGTAACTCTCAGCTTTGAACCTTAAATGACTATAAGCTCAGGACACGCACGGGAGCCCCATCTGAACCCTCCCTGATGGTGGTCACGGACAAGGGAGGTCTGGGAAGCTGTGACAGCCAAGAGGGACCCGAGGAAACAGGACGATGAAATAGGGTGTGCTCTTCTTGGGGGTGGGGACAGTACCGGAAAAATGCTATCAGGTAAAACTAAAGAAATCTGAATAAAGTATGGACTTCAGGCAACAGTAATGTACCAGTATCAGCTCATTAATTGTGACAAATGTACTGTGTAAGGGTGAGATGTTACCAGGAGTAATAATAGGCATGGAGTACATAGGAACTCTGTATTATTATTTCTATAAATCTAAATCTACTCTGAAACTAAAAGTTTCTTTAAAGGGTAAAGCTAAATAAATTAAAGCAATAAGAAATGCGAGAGAGAAGTACTTCACTGGTCATTGGTGGCGGCGGTGGGTGACAGGAGAGAGAGTGCATCTTGCCTGGAAAACGCCGGGGCCTCAGAAACAGATCCCAGCAGCCAAGCTCGTGGGAGAGAAAAATTAGAAGAGCCAATGGCTCCACCTGCTGGACAGAGAAGTATCTGCCTCCGTCCCTCACCGGCCGGGTCCTGCGGCTCTGCACTTGAGGGCTCAGACCAGATGGATGGATGTACTGAGGCAGCCGGGGAAAGGACTTGCCCAGCGCACTTCTCAGAGTCTCTGCACGAGCCAGATGCGCCTCTCAGCCAGTTCTCTTCCTGCGGATACCGGACTCTGCCCCAGGAACTGAATGCAGGAAAAAGAGCTCAAGTTTTGGGGATCATAAAGATTGAGCTCAAATGCCATCTCTGCAGCCTTTTTTTTTTTCACCAGAGAAATATTTACAATGGCTACATGCCCCCAGAACTGTTCTGGGTGCTGGGGACAGAGCAGCGAACAGGGCAGAGGAGGTCCCCGCCCGGGCTCACAGCGCCTGCGTTCCAGCTGTGGGAGACAGACAGAAGCGACCGTCTGCCCAGGGCACGGTGTGCTCGCTAGGAGGAAGAGCCGGCTCTCGGAAGGCGGGAGCTGTGTCTGCCAGTTACCCGGTGTCCTCAGGAGCAGGAGCCCTGAGTCCAGGGCCTGACACGCGAGCCACTCAAAAACTGTTTTGCAAATCATATTCATCACAAGTGGTGTGTGTGTGTGTGTGTGAATATATATGTATATACACATGCACATATGTATTCATACATATACATGTATATATTCATCTTATTTTTCCCCTCACATGAGGATATGGTCATTGATTTGAGAGAGAGGAAGGGAGAGACACCCACCAGTTGCCTCCTGTACGCACCGCAGCTGGGGACTGAACCCACAACCTTGGCATGTGCCCTGACCGGGAATTAAACCCACCCCTTTGGTAAGGGTGTACGGGATGACGTTCCAATCACTGAGCCACACTGGCCAGGCTTGTGTGTGTGTGTGTGTGTGTGTGTGTGTGTGTGTATAAAGATTTTATTTATTTATTTTAGAAAGGGGCAAGAGAGGAAAAAAGAGAGGGAGAGAAAAACTGATATGTGGTTGCCTCTTGCAGGCCCCCAAATGGGGACCTGGCCTGGAACCCAGGCATGTGCCCTGACTGGGAACTGAACCAGAGACCCTTTGGTCCACAGGCCAGCACTCAGTCCACTGAGCCACAGCAGCCAGGGCTGTGTATATATATTTTAATGCAAATAAAATACCTAACAGTTGAGGACTTGGTTGAATAAATTAAATCCCCATAAAACAGATTACTAAACAGTCACCAAAAATTGTTTAAGTAATTAATAATGAAAGATCTTCTAAATATTTGTCAAGTTAAAGTAAAATACAACAATATCTCGAGTATAACACCAGTTGTTTTTTTAACATTATATATAAATACACATACAAAGAAATGAACAGAAAAAATATACACCAAAACGTTGGCAGGAGTCTCATCTAGTGGTGGGATTCCCCAGACTTGAGTTATTTTTCCTGTTTTCCAAATTTCAGTGCAAAACTAAGTGCCAGCAGGAAACAGATGCCCCGTAAACGGGAATCCACTCTGCCCCGACCCCTCCTGTCTTCTGTGCAAGGACGAGAGTGCCCGACGTTCTGGACAACAGGAAGGACAAAGGCCAGGGGCTTCCTGAGGGCTGCTCCCACCGTGGGCAGGTCCCACCGAAGAGCTGCTTCTTCCCACAGGTCGGGAGCCACGAACCCAACAGTTCACACCAGCGAACACTGATCCGGAGCCCAGGACAGCTTAGTCGAGGGGCCTGAAGTAGCCCTGGGACCTGGGGCACCCCGTGCAGCACCACTGATGGGGCTGTGACCTGAAGTCCCCACGGGGGTCTGTTTCCGTCGAACTGTCAGGTCCCCGGGAGAGGGGTGTTCCTGATGGAGGCGCAAGCAGCATCTGCTGCTCTGCACACACTCGCCCCCACCCCCTGGCCCGTGTGCTCATCCCTGGGGAGGGGGCTCACCTGGGATTTTGAATCAGAAGGCTGGGCTTCTACTCCGACCTCTGCCACCGATTCACCCAGGACAAGGTGCTCTGCTTGCCTGAGCCTCGGGCCCCACCTCTGACGGGCAGCGTGAAGAGCCCCACTCCCCAGGGCAGCAAATGTCTATACCGGCCCTTCCCCCTGGGGCCCCAAGACAGAGTCAAGAGTGGGTGACAAAAGACGTTTATTTAGGCATGATCCCTCAATAACACCCATACATATAAAAATACATAATTTAAATCCATGGCAATAATAACCAGCCTTCCCAGTGGCCCGCTCCCCAGCTGCTCCCTTCAAAAGCCCGGTGTGCGCGGGGCAGGGGTCACTTCTTGGCAGCTTCTGCCTGCGCTGCCAAATCGGCCTCTTTCTGAGCAGCCAAGAACAACGCCCGCTCCTTCTGGAAAGCTGCCAGCTCTTCTGAGCTGAGGCTGCAGGCACAGAAACACAGGTGATAAGTGAGCGGCCCACGCCGCCGCTGTCTCAGAACCCGCCTCCCTCCTGGGCTTCCCACACCTTCGATCGTCTCTTTCCTCTGCTTTTCATTCCCTTCCCTAAAACCCTACTGGCCCTCTGAGGCCCCGGCTATGCCCCAGCCCAGACTAGCCGGCCCTCTCCTCTGAGCCCCACAACTATTTGTACAGTAAAGTCTCCGGGCCCGTGGGTCTCCCCCGAACTCCCAGTACAGGTACAGACTGGCGAAGGGTGAAGCCCCTCCCCATTCCAGGCGTAACCCCATTTCCCTGGGAAACCACCGGCGGCCTTGACATCAGCAGCGAGAGGCCAGCGACGGGCTGAGTGCCGCCCCTGCTGCTGCCGGGGCTAGACACCCTCGCCCCCAACATCTCACTTCGGAGAAGCCACCCCTGACGTCACCCGAAGCCCCGGGGTGGGCCTCCCCTCTCTCACACTACTTCCTGCTCTGCCTCTAGCCACGCCGTGTACCAGACTGCACTGAACTTCTTTGCTCCCATCTTTGCACTTATTGGAACGCTTGTGCCCAGTCCTTGACTTCCTTTTCCAGGTCTCTGTCACCTCTCATACAAAGTCCTCGTGGACATACTAGGCAAAATCAGGGTTCTCCGCTTTGTTCTCAAGACACCTGTAGCTCCTGTTACCAACACTGGCCGTCTGGCAGTGTAACGCTCCATTTACGGATCCGCCTCCGTCTCTGGACTGTGAGCTCCTTGGGAACGGGGCCAAGCATGGTTATCCAGTTCCTAGTTTCAGCCAGTGCCCGGCACAACAACTAACACGGAGCGGATACTTGATATTCCAAGGGAATGAATGGGGCTCCCCACTCCCAAGAATCTAAGGTCCTCTGATGCAGAAACTGGCTCTCCCACTACTTGGCCCTCTGAGCTTTGCCCCGAAGTCAAGAACTGTCCAGGCCCTCCCGTCACAGTGTGCCTCCTTGGGACACTCACTCCTTCACCACACGAATGCCCAGCGAGCGGGCGGAGCCGATGATGGAGCGGACGACAGAGGACAGGGGCACGTCCTGCAGGGCAAAAGCTTCGTCCTGAGCTTTAACACGAGCAATCTCATACACGTGCTTCAAGGTCACCAGGCCTGCCACCTCCTTTCCTGGAGGGAAGAAAGGAAGGAATGAGCACCCCTACGTCAAAACTATGAACAGTAAAATGACAACAAACTCACAACTATCAGCAACTGCACCTAAAAAACAAAAACAAAGCAAACAACCAGAACAGGAACAGAATCACAGAAATGGAGATCACATGGAGGGTTATCAGTTGCGGGGGGGGGGATGGGGGGAAAAAGTACAGGGAATAAGAAGCATAATTGGCAGGTTCAAAATAGACAGGGGGAGGTCAAGAATAGTAAAAGAAATGGAGAAGCCGAAGAACTTATATGTACAATCCATGGACATGAACTAGGGCGGGGGGAATGTTGGAGGGAGGGGAGGCACAGGGCAGAGGGAGTTAAAGGGGAGGAAAAAAATGGGACAACTGTAACAGCATAATCAATAAAATAAGAAGAAACAAGCAGCCTTCCTGGAAGGTGGCGCTGCTTCCTTCAGAGCCCCCCCCCCCCATATCCCAGGTGCCTACCCCGACCCTCACCTGTCTCCCGGGCCCCTTTCTCAATCCCGGCCGCTGCCTTCAGGAAGTAGGAAACAGTGGGTTGTCCGATCTTGATGTCAAATGTCCTGTCGGGCTTAATGGGAAAAAGAAGTCATGAGAATATCTCTTTCTGCTTCTCCCAACCCCTGTTGCCCCAACTTAGGGAACCGCGAACTTCCTGTCTCTCCTTCCCTTCAGTCACATTCTGACCATGTCCCTCCAAAAAACCACAAAACCACAGGAAAAGTAAATCTGCAGCCAACAGCCCTCTCACCTCGATTCCGGGCCCAGCTCTGCTCAGGAAGCCCCAGTGAGATGAAGGGACAAAGGGAAGACCCGCACTACGGCGGGGCGGGCTCAGAAAAGACCGTGCAGCCTCCACCGTGTAAAGTAGGAAGGTAGGGTCCGGCAACAGGAAGAGACCTGCCCCAAGTTAGGAACTGGGTAGAAAGCCCAGGCAACCAGCCCCAGGACTGAGGGAGCATCGGAGGATGAAATGAAACTGGGATCGGAGTCCCGACTCTGCACCTTCACAAAGATCTTGGTAGGCAAAGGGATGCCTTCTTTGATGTCCTTTGTCTTCTCGTTGAACTCCTTGCAGAACTGGTTGATGGAAACGCCTCGCTGTGACAGAGGCACAGGGGTTAGTTAGTATGGGGAGGAAGCGACAGCTTCCCACCACCCGGGAGGCTCCGTCCGTGCCGCCTCCGTCTTCCCTTCTCTACGATCCCAATTTCTTTCCTCACCCAGATTCAACTACCACTTTCCGTGCCGTGTGACCTGTATACATCCTCCCTCTGCGTTCTCACAACAGTCCCCTGGGCCTCCGAGAGGCTATGTAACTAACAGAAGGACATTAGGCGCGTGGGGAGCTCCCTGGCTCCGGGGCCCGCACCCTCTATCCGAATACTAGCTTCCCACTCCCCGCAAGACTCCTCCCACGCCGGGTTCCAGCGGCGGCTGCACCTGACCCAGGATGGGGCCTAGTGGGGGCCCGGGCATGGCCTGGCCCGCCCGCACGATGGCTCGGATCACGCCACCGGGCTCGATCTTCTTGACTGCCCGAGTGGTCCGGCTTATCTTCGACATGATGCGTAGTTCACTGTCTTAGCTCACTTCAGGTCAACAGCAAGAGAGACTGCTCCGGGGGCTGCCATTTTGGGTTAGAGGTCAAGGGTCCTCTTCTTAGGTTAGGGTAGGTGAAACCAACGAAGATTTGTTTCGGTCCTTCCGCTCTCCAACTGGTAAGACAAAGAGGAGGGTGATATAAAGAAAAAAAAAACCTTTCACCTTGCCATCTGAAGATAGGAGGAGGACCTGAATGGCTCGGGTACACACATTCCTCCCGGGGCGTACACAGGCATTACGTCAGACAACTAAACTGGAGAAGGACCTTTGTTCCGCATGGCATTGTGGGCATGGTAGTTTTGACCGCTCCTGCAAATCCCGCAGATGGCGGTGCGCTGGGGCGCTACCTGTTGGAGGCGGCGATTATCCTTGGGTTTGAAATGAACCTAGAGCTCGTCCTTAGGTGTAGAAACAATCTCTTCACTCGCCGGGTCTGTTCTCTCGCCAGTTGTTGAAAGGCGGTATGGTTAAGAGTACGGACTCTGGAAGCAAACTGCCTGGTTGCTCCTCTTGCTGCCCGTGAAGTTGATCAAGTTAATTTATGCTTAATTTGCTCCCCTGGACGATGGGGATTAAAATGTATAGCACCTACCCCTAGGGATCGTTGTGTGGGGTGAGTTAGCAAAGTGCTTCAGAACAATGCCTGGCATCTAGTCAGCTGTTCACTGTGGAATGAGGACAAACCTTCATAGAGCTGTTGTGAGGCTTAACAGGCTCAGAATGTGTTTGATACAGCATTTTGTGTTCACGATACTACCGCGTATCATTGAACTTTTTTTTTTTTTTGAGTACTTACTACAAGCCAGGCACTCTGCTAAGGGCATTATCTCATTTAATCCTCACAATGGCATGTTTTATTATACCTCTGTCACAAATAAGAGCGTTGAGGCACCAAAAAGGGGACGCAAACCACCTATCCTGTATGTGACAGGGCTGGGAAACAAGTATTGGAATTATCTGAGTCTAGATCTTGCGACATGCCCGTGGCTAGTGTGGCTCAGTGGATTGAGAGCCGTGCTGCGAACCAAAGGGTCATGGGTTTGAGTCCGTCAGGGCACATGTCTGGGTTGCAGGCCAGACCCCCCCCAGTAGGGGGCGCAGGAGAGGCGACCACACACTGACGTTTCTCTCTATCCCTTCCTCTCTAAAGATAAATAAATAAAATCTTTAAAAATAAAAATAGATATTGTGACATTTATGAGTCTATACTGCCTCATCTATTAAAGGGAGATAATCCATGTAAGACCACACTGCGAACTGTGAGAGTTTTAAAATTATGAATTCTCATTAAACTCCCACTAATTAAATGTGACTGCTCCTGCCTCTGACAGCTGAGTTCTTCAGAACACTCAACCTATTAGCCTTGATCAAGACTCTGGAACCAAGTTGGCCCTTTGATTTACTAGCTGTGAAACCCTGGATAGATAATGAACTTTCCTGTGCTTTGCTTCCTCACTAGTAGCACGAGGCTAATAATCGTATCTGCCTCACAAGAAATCGGTTAATTCAGGTAAAGCGCTTAGAAGAGGGTCTGGCCCAGAACAAGCCAGGCTGGGTGTGGTTTACCTCTGGGTCCTCCATACTGCCCACCCTTTCTTTATTCACAAGGGAAGACAGAAACCCTCTGTGATCAAGGAAGTTGAAGGCATCAGGAAATAGGTGGGCATAGCAGGCGCTCAGGGAGCCAAGAGTGCAGCCTGGGACACACTGGGCTTGGTGAGTGCAGTTTCCTCCACTTCCTGTCAACGAAGGGACAGTTTTGATTATTCTGGCTCTGATGATAAGGAAGCAGCTCCCTAGCCTGTCTTTGGCAATGTGTGAGTTCAGAGTCTTTGGTGGTGACAAGGAGGCCAGACAGGTGAGTAGGCCCAGATCACCCAGGCCCTGTCAGCCTGGCTAAGGAGTGTGTGCCCCTCTGTACCTGCTTCCACCGGCTCTGGGGGGAAAGGCGACCAGGCAGATGCCTTCTCAGTGTGCAGGTCTAGTCAGGCCATCTCGACGGGACCCGCGTGAACAGACAGCCTTGGTGCCAGATACATGCCACTGGGGTAAGGGCCAGGGATTCCGAACTTCCACCAGTGAAAACCGAGAGGACGTTGAGAAGAAAGTTAGGCTGAGATCTGTACCTGTCACTGCTCAGCCTGGTGCCCCGAGTCCCTCCCCCTGCCCCCCGGAGCAGCCGAAAAGCAGACAGAGAAGGAGGGAGGCAGAGAGGAGAATGGGCTGGGCTCCTTTCAACCCCTGATTGAAGGCGTGGGGAGTCAGGGCCCTAGAACTGCCCACACGCAATTCACCCCTCTCCCTCGGCCCCCCCATTCAGCCCACCCCCAAGTCCTGCCGACTTCTATCCCCACGGTTCCCTCCAGTCCTGCCATCCGCTCCGTGACTGCCCAGAGGGGAGGGCTGACGGCCATTTTCTGCCTCTCCCAATACACTTCTGGCTCGCTGTGTGACTTGGGGCAAGTCCCTTCACCTCTCTGAGCCTCTCTTTTCTCAACTGTGAAAAAGGAATAATAAACAAACCTACCACACAGAACTGTTGAGAGAATTTAATGAGAGCACCCAGGCAGGGTGCTTGGCTCAGGCCTGGCATGTAGCATATAGTTAAGTATGCTCTAAGGGTTAACTATTATCCTGGCTGATGTGGCTCAGTGGATTGAGCGCCAGCCTGTGAACCAAAAGGTCGCTGGTTCAAATCCCAGTTGTGGCACATGCCTGGGTTGTGGGTTAGGTCCCCAGTCGGGGGTGTGTGAGAGGCAACCAATCAATGTTTCCCTCACATATCAATGGTTCTCTCCCACTCTTTCTCCCTCTCTTCCCTTCTCTCTAAAAAAATAAATATTTTAAAAAATAAGTGTTCACTATTGTTATTGTCGGTTCAGACTTTATCTTTCCTTGGCTGGACACTCAGGCCAGTCCCCTTTGTGGCCTCTCTGCCTCCATTCTTTTTTTTTTTTTTTAAGATTTTATTCACTTATTTTTAGAGAGGGAAGGGAGGGAGACAGAGAGAGAGAGAGAGAGAAACATCAATGTGTGGTTGCTGGGGTTTATGGCCTGCAACCCAGGCATGTACCCTGGCTGGGAATCGAACCTGGGACACTTTGGTTCCCGGACACTTTGGTTCCCAGCCTGCGCTCAATCCACTGAGCTACGCCAGCCAGGGCTTCTGCCTCCATTCTTGCCCCACCAACCCAGCCTCTCCCACTCAGCCCACGTCAGGCCCCTGCCCAAAACTTGTTAATCTCACCCACAGCTCCTTTTCCCAGAGCATGGGTCTCGGTTCATCTGAGACACTTGTTAAAATTCGGCTCTCCTGCCCTGGCTGGCATAGCTCAGTGGATTGAGCATGGGCTGCAAACCAAAGTGTCGCAGGTTCGATTCCCAGTCAGGGCACTTGCCTGGGTTGCAGGCCATGACCCTCAGCAACCGCAGATTGATGTTTCTCTCTCTCTCTCTCCCTCCCTTCCCTCTCTAAAAATAAATAAATAAAATCTTTAAAAAAAATTCGGCTCTCCAGCATCTTCTTCCAGTGCCCCAGGGGGTGCTGCCGAAACCCACTGCTCTACAAACTACAGTCTACATGTGTGGGCATGGGGTTCAAGGCCCTGGAGCCAGCCCCTGCCAGCTTCACCAACCCGCTGCCCCACACCCCACAGCATACCCTCCAGCCACACCCGAGAGCACACAATCCCATGCGGCCCTGCGCTCTCCCGGGGGGCCCCCCTGTCTGCGCATGTGCAGACCTGCACGCTCTCTCTCACCTTTCCTTCCCAGCTCCCTCTGCCTCCCTGCTCCTCAGGAAGGTGCCTCTTCGGAGCTCGTTATCTCCCCCCAGAAGTAATACATTGAAGCCCTAACTTCAAGGCCCTCCAAATATGACTGCATTTGGAGATAAGGTCTTAAAAGAGGACAGATGACTAGTTGAAACGAGGCCATTAGGTTGGGCCCTCACCCAGTCTGTCAGGTGTCCTCCTATGAGGAGATCAGGACACAGACACGCACTGAAGAAAGACCAGCAAGAAGATGGCCATCTGCGAGCCGAGGAGCGAGGCCTCGGGAGAAAGCAGACCTGCCCACACCTTGAGCTTAGGGCTTTTTGCAAATTAGAATTGTGACCTATCCGTGGGTTATAAAATTGATTTCATGAGTTCAACCAGCGTTTTCAATGAAATAGAATAGAAAATAGAGTGCATCACATGGAATAAAAATCAGTGTCCTCACGAAACTTGTGTTTCCCTTGTGTGTCTGCGTGTGTGCATCGGGCCACAAGAGAAATGTTTTTCTAACTAATGCTCATGTCCCAGCCTCCCCCCAGATAGGAAGCCACTGCAGTGTCCTGTGTGACCCTCAGATGTGATGTCACATCTTGCTCATTCCAATTGGTGAGGCAAGGCCTGACCTCGGACCCGGTATGTGGTAGGTCTTTGGGGAATATTTGTGGGACCAACGCCATGTATTGCATGGCATTACCTCCTCTGCTTGTATTATCTCCTCTGTTTCTGCCGTGGTAACCCCAGTCTCAGCACAAATGCCTTTCACCTGAGTGACAACAGCACCCTAACAACAGCCCACTCTGGCTCCTCTGCAGACCTCCCTCCAGCAGCCAAGAGGGATCTTTCTAAAGAAAGCATAAGTCATATTTAGTCACTTTTTGTCACTCACCTACTCCGAACATTTTCCCCTGGAGCCCAAGTAAAGTCTTAATTCTTTACCCTGCACTATGAGGCTTGACGTGTTCTGGGCCCCTCTGTGCTCCTCTCTGACCACCTCGCCTTCTCTTCCCTCCCTCATCCCACACCAGCCACGCTGGCATCCTTGGGCGCTGTGGTACTGTGATTTGTAAAAATAAATATATGTTTGGTCCTTGTCTCAGTTCCTAGCACAGAGCTCCTAAAAACTCTGGAATTCCCTAACTGATAAGATTCATAAAGGCGAAAGGAGAGTTTATTGTTATTCATAATAACCCATTTCTACCAGAGATGACTTCCTTGATTCTGCAGCCCTGGGCAGGAAATGGCTGTCTCTGAATTTTCATTCCAAATTCCCAACAGATGCAGTGGGATGGGCCCAGCCTGGGCCAGGTTGTCACTCCCCTTCTTTCTGCTGTGACCAGGGGATGACATCACAGAGATAAACGTGATGGCTGGGGACACATCTCTGGGGCTAAGGA